GGTGTGTATTTGAGTGGTGCGTTCACTTTGGTTAGGACACTGTTACTTAACTGCTTCCTGCTAGAAACTGGATGAATCTTCGGGATGCAGAGACGGGCAAAGTGCTGTGGCAGGGAACGGAGGACCTCTCTGTACCGGGAGTAGAGCACGAAGGTATGTCTGCGCTTTTGACACTCTCAAGTCATATCTGTTGTGACAGAACAACTAAATACAAATCTTCAAGACCTGTTTATCAGATGGTTTACCCACTAATTCATAATAAAACCCACTCATCTCATAAGCCAACATTGTCAGCTAATACTGATGGTTCTATATATGCAGTATCCTTCTCTGTTTATTTAGAGGCTGTATATTTAGACAAAGTCGTTTTTTCACATCATTTTAAGTTTAAAAATTATAATGTTCAAGAGGCGTTTGTGAGGGCCACTCAAAAACCACCAGATTGACCTTTTAATGTTACCAAAAGTGATTTTGCGGTTTTCAATCATCCTGTTGTAGAAACCAGCCTCTAGTTAACATTGGAAGAAATTGGTTTCACTCTTCCAGTGAAAATTGTGTGCAGCACAAACAATAAATGTGTTCTTTTGTAAATGACAGATAAGGTCGGAAATGACTGTTTATCAGGATCGACTGTTGCAGGTAAAAAGGAGTGGAGTCATCACATCCATCATAAAATGTTTTGTGGCATTGTGCCTTCAAATAATGTATAACACAGGACGACCAAGCAGAAAAAATGTGTTTGTCCATTATTGTTCAAGAAGTTACTTGACAGCATGATATCGCACTGACAGCAGGGAGTCTTTTATGAATTCCATTGTCATCACAGATTTTCCTGCAAATCTGAGGAGCCTGATCAGTTTGTTACACTCACAATTGTTCTCGGTTTCCATTCAACCTGATAATTCAGTTACTGAAGTGAAATAATGATCAATGGGTTATGCAACTTTTTTTTTTTTTAGTGACAGTAAAAAGCTAAACTTTGTCTGTTAGTGGACAATGGTCAAATCAGCTATTCATTATTCTTCACTCTCTCCCTTCCCCGTCATATCCCTCCATCAGTTTTTTAAACCATAGTAATTACACCTTCCTGTCGTTCTCGCTCTGTTCTTGGGCCTGCGGTCTCTCCTCCTGCACTTCTCCACAGCAAGTGTGAGCAGCAGCAGCCTCCTGTGACTGCAAAGGCTGGTTACTAGTTGTTGCTAGGACTACAGCTGTCAGTGTAGCAGCAGCCCTAACAACTAACATGTCGCTTAATTTCACACAGTTTGCTGCTTCCATTTCTTGTATCAGAGTGGCTATAGCTCAGGAGCTAGAGTGGGTCGTACTAATTAGATGGTTAGTGGTTCAATCCCTGCCTGTTCTGGTTTGGATGCCATAGTATCATTGGGCAAGATGCTAACCATCCGTCGAGGTGTGGATGTTGGATGGAAGCGTGGAAAAAGTGCTTGCATGAATGGATGTGAACAAGTGAATGAGGCATGTTGTATAAAGTGCTCTGAGTGCCCCAGTAGAGTAGAAAAGAGAACCAGTCCATTTACCATTTGTGTTTCCTTTTTTTTCTGTCTTAGCTTTTCAGCTCCACTTTGCTACTTTTGTTTTTTTGTTCGATCTTTATCAGCCACTTCTTCCACGATACACTCTGTTCTACAAGGTGCATGAATGCACAGGGAGGGCAGACGAGGGGTCAGTTGCGTTGACAGATTTGATCCGATCCTACAAGCTGACCTGTAGCCTGTGTAATTATGTCTACAAAGGGGAAGAAATTGACCCACTAGGCAAATGCCAGATTGCCAGTTCATGGCTGTTAGGTGCCCAAACTTTTGCAGATGTCATTGTCTGTCTGCTGCATGAGTTTATTCATTCAGCTTTCACATAAAAAAAAAAAAGTAGTTATACATATACTACAACATGCAGTCTCTGGCTACTTTGTTAGACCTTGGGTTTACTCCCTTTAGCCTTCAGAACTGCCTTCATTATTTTTGACAGAGATTCAACAAGATGCTGGAAACAAAATAGCATCAAACTGTTGTTTTAGATTTGTTTGCTAAATTGAGATCACTAACTTTTTGCATACTCATATTCAAGTTTAAAGTCTTAGGTCCTGGGCCCACAAATGAAAACACTGAATGCTGGTATTACGTACCTAGCTGTTGTAAGCAGAGTTAATTATATACGGCATATCTGTGTCTTCAGCTCGTGTCCCAAAGAAGATCCTGAAGTGTAAAGCAGTGTCCAGAGAGCTCAACTTTTCTTCCTCAGAGAAACTGGAGAAGTTCAGACTGGAGCAGAAAGTTTTCTTCAAAGGACAGTGTTTAGAAGGTAATATGTGAAAACTGACAGATCAGTGTTCGTTTCCACATGAATGGAGCCCTGCATGTTCCTGTCTGGTTCTACAGACATCCTCTTATCCACATGTGGTACAGGGACCAGTGGCTAACTGAACATGTTAAAAACGGAGTCGACTAGGTACTGCTGGAAAAGTGCTATATGTTATCCATATCTTATCTGTCTCATATAATATAGTCAGTGTAAGATTAAACCTATTTTACTCCAAATTATGTCAAGTTTATTAAAATGTGTTTAAAATTTGTTTAAAAAAAAAACAAAGACCAAAATGAATATATACAAAATACAATAGTATTCCCTTAAAAGTGATTACTACCCACAGAGTGAGCAGTGAAATGCTATTTGAAGATGTTAACATGTTTGAAGTAAACCTCCCTTTCACATAGCATCATCACTTAACCTCGACCCCTCAGCTGTAATCGGCTGACTGCGTTATGTCGTCACCACGGTGGGCGGGTGAGAGGTCACCCAGGTTTGTGAATGCAAGAACTCAAGAACAAGGCAAAAAAGAAACTTTGCATTGATACCATAGCTGTGTCTACTAAAAATCTCAGACAAGTTCAAATCTCAATGACTTGGACTTGGTCAGTTTTTTGTTTTGTTTTTTGAAAATCTTGTGAATGTGAGAACTTGAGAAAAAGACAATTTTGAAATTGATACTATAGGTGCGTTTACTAGGAGGCTAACAGCTTTTTGTTGTTTTGACCATGTGTAGGGACAAATGAAGGCCTGGTAGTCTTAGGAAGGTTAAACAATGAATACAGTTGCTACATAGTATTATGAAAAAAACAAAAATGATAAAATGCTCAGAATTAAAATCAAATAAAAATGTATTTTTGTGAATTCATTAGCAAATTAATTATAAGATTCTATAATCAAGCAAGTTGAAATCTGAAAGAAGGAAAACCTGTGCAGGGTTACTAGAAGGCGGTTTGAGAAGAACAGACAGCTCACAGCCCTGGAACCTGTTGTGCATTGTCGTCACTTCCCTGTTTCACTGTGTTTGCAGTACAGTAATCCCCCTGACACCCTGCTGCACGGTTCCAGAGAGAAAACACACAATCCACACCCACATAACATGTTTGTGCTGCTGTTTTCCACCTGAGAAGAGAAATGTCTGTGAACTAATATCTAGGCCATGGTGGTATAGTAATAGCAATGATAGTGTGTGCTAGAGCAGCAGCATTGAGCCCTCTGTCTCTCTGTCCAGAGTGGTTCTTTGAGTTTGGTTTCGTTATCCCCAACTCCACCAACACATGGCAGTCTCTGATAGAAGCGGCTCCAGAGTCCCAGATGATGCCAGCCAATGTTTTAACGTGAGTCTCTGCTCAGATGTTTCCTGTACTTTGTGTTTCTGTACTTGGACCGTCTCTGTTTTCATGCCATAGAGCTGTGCTAGGCTTTTATCTGGCCTTGAGCTACATCAGGCCTGCTTCCATAGCGATACAAAGTGTACATCAACACACAAGTGGTCTTATGTTCTTGGCTGAAATATATTTACATACCTGCATTTTATTCTGATGATCTGAACATTTGCACGTAGACGCCTTGTGGATTTTCAGCGACTGAATCATAAAAGATCCAGTCGCTGAGCTTCAAACCGCACAAAGTGTCGTTCAGCAGCCCTACATTCTTCTTTCAGTGCGCCCGGAGGTCGTCTTTAAACAGATGACTTGGGAAGCGCAGGCTAATCATAATTAAAGTCAAGTCCCACATTTAGTTTCCTTTTATTCTACCAGTCACAGCTGTACAAAGTTGCGCAGCATTCATGTATCTTTTGCCCTGTTTTAGTGAATTTTCTGTTATGTTTCACTTTTACTAAAGGCTGACACTTGTCTTTGTTTTCTAGTGGTAATGTTATCATAGAGACCAAGTTCTTCGACGATGACCTGCATGTCAGTACTTCCAGGGTACGGCTTTTCTACGTCTGACATTTAACCCCCCCAAGTCTACCTTCCTGAATGCTGACACCCTGCCAAGGTCTGTAAATACCCAAGGTTAGCTACAATTCACAGCGGTAAAGAGCTCGTTGCTGACGTGGGATCAGCATGTTGGGGTGAAACCCAGCTGTGGCGCCACAATCAGTCAAGTGAGCTCGTGTTCTCTAGTTTTGTGTCGACTTGAAAACCTCTGGACCTTGGAAGAAGAGGGAAGAGGAGAGAGAACTCGATTGCTTCCCCTGTTCCAGGATCACCTCTCTCTCTGTTTTCCCCTTCAGACTGTTTCACTGTAAACACGTGATCACTGATCTCAAGTCAGCTAGGGAAGCCCTCTTGTGTTTTTTCTTTTTTGTAGTGCTGCCCTATCTCACTCCCAGGTAGCATTTACTCAGGAACAGAACAGATGTGTAACCTTCTGTGAATAGATATCATGTTTTCTAATCTCCATGTGTCATGTCATGGCTGGTCAAAGATGGACTGTTGTTGTTGAGGGAAGGTGATGCACTCAAGCAGGGGTGGGGGAACTCCAGGCCTCAGGGGGCTGGTGTCCTGCAGGTTTTAGATATCAGCCTAGGTCAACACACCTGAATAAAATGATTAGTTCACTACCTCTGGAAGTGGCCTCTGGATAACTTCAAGACATGTTGAGGAGGTAATTTAGCCATTTAAATCATGTGTTGGATCAAGAATACATCTAAAACCTGCAGGACACGGCTCTCGAGGCCTGGAGTTCCCCCACTCCTGCACTAGAGGGACGGGGATGACATGAAAGCTCTTATTGTCATTTTAGGTGCTACAAATTTTATTGACAACTCAGATAAAATGTATAAACCTGTTACAATGAGCACTGCATATTTTACATAATTCAAATATAAAGTAGTATAGCCTTGAGGCGACTGTTGTTATGATCTGGCGCTATATAAATAAAATTGAACTGAACTGAGCTCATTTCCTCTGGCTGCCTCCCGTTTCAGAGGCTGTCTGTGAGCGCCCACATTTCTCACATGGTATGTCTTTACTAGTAAGGGTGACTTTCCAAAGCAGGTGAAATGCAGCCTCCTTCCTTCATTTGAGCAACAGAAGGAGCACAACCTGTGCACTCTTCTCCTCCTCAGATGGTCAATTTGGTTTTTTTCTAGTCATTGATTAGAATTGCTCGGTTTTTATTGGAGAAATGGAAGAAATATACATTTGTGGATATATTAATCTTTACACATTAACCCATTCGTAATGTTTCACTTTGATGAGTTGATGAGGCCCGTCTAACACTGCAGTGCTCATCCCCTGTTAGTTTTCAAAAGCACTAACCTTAGCAGGCTGACTCGTGACTGGGAAACACCCGCTTAATGTAATGTTTGCAACAGTGGATTCAATGTAGTCTGATAGAGGGCTACACACGTTTGCTTGGTTTTTTTACACTCCTCCATGAATTGTTAAAATGAAACCTTCACACAGTTATGACATAATTAAAAACTGTTGTTATTCATTGGTAGAACAAAACAAGCTTTTATTCCATTAATTTATGTTTTAATTGACCTTCACATGACTTAATTCTGATATTTCACTTTGAATAAAATCATTATCAGGGTGAAACCAAAACATGCGTCATTTTATCTTAGCTAGATCCAGATGGTAACAGCAGCTTGAATTCTTTTACAACACCTTTGCTTTGCATATTCTCACTAGATTTTTAGCTTTGGCTTCCTGCGTAGTTCACACATTCACCTCGTTATGTGTTTTTCTTAGCTCCTATCTGGGCTTTGTAAAATAGATTTGTGTTGTAATATAATGGGAGGTGTGGATTAAAGTTACATGATGTTGGAATAACATGATGCGTTCTGTTTATTTTATTAATTAGTAATTTTCCCCGACCTGGTTGGGAAACAATTTCCCCAATTTCAAATGATGCATGTAGAGTTGTTGGAAAAATTCCCATGCACCCTGAAGTATCTTATCGCAGGTAAAGACTTGATATGCTCTTCTATGGCTAGGCCAAAAAACAGGTGGAGTCTCCTCTCTAGTACTGGGGCAAAGACTTCCACAGGCCAAGGAATGTCATTCCCCTAGTTACCCGTGGGACCACCATCCCAGTTTGCCAATCCAGAGGGGACTGTCCCTGACCTCCACACAATGCAGCAGAGATTTGTCAACCAAGACAGCCCCACAGCATTTACTTCACTGCAGATACTAGTCAGCTGGCTCCAGAATCCAAGAAACAAACCAAGATTGGTACAACTGTCCTTCAACTGACTGCTCCCTTCACTTTTGGCGTCCACCATTGAGACAGGTACCAGCAACTTTACAGCCAGAAATAGAGGAGTGGCACATGACTAATTTGGATTCAATGTCCTGACCAAAGATCTACTGCTCTTGGAGCAGGCATTCTGCCAGATGGTGCCTGTACATCTACACTGGACATTTGATTGAGATTTCCACATCAGTGCATCTTCCCACATCAGTGCATCTTCCCACATCAGTGCATCTTCCCACATCAGTGCATCTTCCCACACCACCTTGACAGTTGACAGCTCAGCTTCTCTCAACCTAGGTTGTGGGTGTTAAGTGCACTGATGTGGAAATCTCTTCAGTTTCATGCAGATTCTTTTTATGGATTTTTTTTATTTTATGGATTGAACAATTATGTTTAGAAATGTACTTAATCTACTGTAGGTCATTTTCAGTGTTTATTTGTGACAGAGGGATAGCAGCGAGAGAGAAGGGGAAGGATTACAAGATGGTAGTGAGACCTGCTATGATGTATTGTTTGGAGACAGCGGCACTGAAACAAAGAAAGAAAGCAGAGCTGAAGATGTTCAGATCTTCATTATGAGTGAGCAGGATGGACAGGATTAGAACTGAGTCCTTTAGAGGGACAGCTCAGGCTGAGCAGTTTGGAGAAAAGGTGAGAGAGACGAGGTTGAGATGGTTTGGACATGTGCAGAGGAGGGAGAGTGGATATATCAGATAAAGGATGATGAAGATGGAGCTAAGAGGCAGGGAAAGAGGAAAAAGCACATGCTAGGGACAGGGTGAGATGATCCACTGGGATAAAAGACAAAAAATAATCACATAGCAAGCAGAAGAAACTCAAACGCTGTTTGGGTAAATTATACAGGGTGGGCCATTTATATGGATACACCGTAATAACATGGGAATGGTTGGTGATATTAAAGTCCTGTTTGTGGCACATTAGTATATGTGAGGGGGCAAACTCCTCAAG